AATGTGCTGTTACCTAATATTACCTATGCGGACACTTAACTGCGGCACTTGACCCACAACTGTATCTATGTGACCTTTATGCACTGCTGCTCAGTTTAGTTACTTTTCGTCGGATGTTTAGTAATTATTTATGAGATTATCTAGTATTGATCAATTAATGAAGCCTTTATTAATAATATACACACTGTCGGCATTTGGTTATTAAACCAGAAGATTCTTTTGCTTGCTTTATTCGGCAGGATTATATGTGAGGTTTTGATATGTGAGGTCTACAGATTTGTTATGTTAGTTTCAATCATCTCCTACGGCTTCGTATATTTATTTCTGGCCACAGCAAGAGCGTATTAAAAAAGGTGACTTGGAATATAACTAAGCGACGATAGTCTTCCGCCGTGCGTCTCAATGCATCAAATATATTCGAACACCGCACGTCTGTTGAGTTTGTATCCCGTAGCAAAGACAGAAAAGACTTTGCTGATGAGCCAGGCTATGTAATTTGGACTCTATCAGCTTTTTATCGCCAATCAGTTCCATGGATCATTTTTCCACTGAATCTAGCGTGGCAAACTGAAACTTACCTGAATATATAATAATCATAATGATAGGAAAACGTTGTATGCTCTGTTATTGTCTCTCTTCCTTGCATCGTTTTTCTCACTGCTGAGAGTACTGTAATGGTCTCAATGAAAAATCACATCTTGTACTAAATTACGCCATTTTCCTTGTTCTTTTGCTACGTGGACGGTTACGCCTTCCCTGTCTTTTCTCTTGGATCTTTTCAGTCATATGTGACTTTTTGAGGCTTCTTTTTACATAAAATATATGAAAAAGACAGAGCATACAATGCAACGACAGTGAACACGACTGCATCAACGTCACGGCAGAGCACGTCTCCCAGCTGGCCAAGTTTCGCTGATTTTGTCTACACAACGGACAAATTCTAAAATTCGCTAAATTGCAGATTGTGTAAATGGGAGCAATAAAAAATGGTATTAAAGTTTTTTTTTCCTTAGGCTGTATTATTAAATTGAGCTGAATCTACTTTGTAGTATTCATTGTCATGTGTCAAATGAGAATCATTTAAGTTAATGAGCTTCAACGATTTCAAGCGTGTTAAAAAGGAATTATACTAAATTATTATAGTTATAAAATGTAGTGATTATTGGTTTGCACCGGATGTCAGCTGTCAACTATTTTGTGTTTTCCTGTGGGGTAGAGTATAAAATGTGGCTGTTTCTTTTCGGTAGTCAATCCATTTTCTGTGCTCTGAAATGAAGCTTCTAGGATTTGTTTTGGCTTTTCTAGCTTTGGCCTTTGCCCTTGTGGTAAGTTTATTTCTTTGAATCATAGGAAAAGATAGCCTTGCAGATTTATAGTGGGTTTCCATTTTTTGTTTTAAAATAGGAATAATACTATATTCCATTTTTTAAAATGCCTATATATTCAAATAAAATCAAAATAATTTATTCAGTCTATGCTGTTATAAGGATTTGTGAAAATATTATGGAGTTTAAGCAATTTTCGCAAAGCCTGATGAGTGAACCCAGGTGAATGACCAAAATCATGAATGTTTCAGAAGGCATGGCAAACCCAAAGTATTTTGGGTTGAATCGCGATATGTTACTAAGTTACATAATGATAAGTCCTTAAAAAAATATTTATTTGTATTAAACGTCTTTTACCTTTGGGTCTTCGGCTTAAGGTGGAAACATATTAATGTGCCGTGTTGTTTCATACATTGGTATAAAAACTGATATGTTTCTGTCGCCCCAAAACACAACATATAAATGTGTTTCCGCTTTTACATAGGTGCACTAAGTTTCCAATCAATCGATCCAGTAGTCTTGATGCAAATTAGCTTTGGTAGATGGACGGATAGCAAACACACGAGTTCGGTTTTCTTCTTTTGAGGTATAGAACCGTCGACATGACTTATTTGATGAACTGAAATCATTGTTATTTCTTCAGAGCGGCATGGCTACAGGGGTTCCGTCCGCGGGACTTCGTGAGGGCAAGGAGAAAGCACCCTGTGGGGGTAATCAACCTCGCCCTCCGCCCGCTAGTGAGTACATGTTTGTTTCATAATGATATAAGCGATGCTCGACGTGTGGAAAATGTCTGACTATTTAACATTTTCAAATTGTCTGAATTGTGTACAAGTCTTGGATAAATTAATTTCAGAATTTGAATCTGTTTGAAATGAATGATACTTAAAATAAGGATTCGTTGTGATTTGAGAAGTCTGGTGCAAATGTACAGCTTAATTCGAATTAAACATCGTTACCGACAACTTTTTGACGACAATTATTAGCAAAGAGAAGTTTTATTTATAATTGTTTTATAATTGTCGTTACTTCTCAGCGGTAGCCATCGTTCATAGAAAACATTCAGCTCACAAACTGAGCTGAATGTTTCATGTGCCCATTCTTTTTCAATTCTCTTTTCAATCAAAAAACTTCTTGAATTGTTGTCACATAAAAATGCATTCCATATGCTTATTGACTAAAGAATATATTGACTTTGATTACTTGTTATCAATTCTTCTGAAAAAGGGGAAACGAGGCGATTGTGTATATGAGTGAGTCTAAAAACTATACTATTATTCGGAGGGTGTGTATACTGATAGATAAGCTGTGTGATACTGAAACATAGGGCCTAACTACTGTTGAAAATTTCCATGGTTTCTTATTGCCTATTTTATATTTTATGTATTGACTAGAATTTTTACCCGGTCTACACAGTGCGCTCGCGCTCTCCTGAGTTTTTATGTCTTAACCATATATCTAATTTAAAGAAGTCTTCGATTTATACAGTCATGTTTATTATTATTAAATGAATCGGTTTCAATTCGGAAGATGCAAAATATCTATGTAGATATTTAATATCAATTATATGTTTTATTTCAGATTCCACCGGTTAGAGCTACCTGAAAAATGAATGCCACTCTAAACAAAACGGACTCGATTGATTCATGAAATAAATTCTATAAATATATACATTACCTTTTATTACAAGTCTTATTTACCTACCGATCTAAAAAAATCCTTATAGTGTTTTTTTTGTAATCTATCCAGCAGTGATATTCTATAATAAACTCATCTATTCGCGCTGTTACACCATAGAGGTTCAATTAAATGATGAATGAATTCAAAAGCCTCCTACTGTGGCAGCGCTGTTCCTGGAGTAGAGTTCGAGTCTGATATCGTTCCGAACAGCAAAGTTATAGTTAAAGAGTGTAACATTATAAACAAACAAAACTCCATTTTTCCTTTTCTATAATATTAGTGTAAAAAAAGTAGTACCTATCTGTTTTCTATGACAAATTAATAAATACTAGCTTTCCGCCAGCGGCTCGCATCTGTATTATACTCGACGATATAAACCTTCCTCTTAAATAACTCTGTATATTGATTTTATATTAAAAAGGTCCAAGGAAAAATCCAGAGGAACCTTTGAGTATTTTTTTAAATTATTTGAATACGCAAAAAGTACTATTATATATTTTTTGCTTGAATGAGTAAAGAACATACCTATAACATCCTCACAATCTTTCAAACTTTTAATATTATAATAGGATACTTTAATGGCGAAACTATGGAATTATAATAATATTTTAATTAATAAGTGGAATGTAACAGGAAATTAGCATTAATTGATAGTCGGAATATGTAAAAGCACCTGGAAAGCATAAATGTGTAAAAGAAAAAAATTACTATAAATAAATAATAATTTCATTATTATTTTTTTAATCTCAGATAATTTGACGTATAAAATTTATAAAAGTACAAAAATATAAATTTTGTTAAGACTAGGTTAATGATGGCTTCCTGACGAAATTTTATAATTATCGTGTCTAATTACGACGATTTATTGTGACGCCGCCAGACATGTACGCACTAATTCAATAACATAAGTATTCACGTGTATGGTGTGGCACGGATATATAATATTTTGTCACACATTTGTGCGCTTTTAATTTATTTGATTAAAGAAGTGTTCAAAGGGGCGTACATGTCTGGCACGGGCTTTACTCTCATAATAAATTTCATAGATGTAAAAGTATTTTTTTTATAAACGTTATAATATACATAAAATTTTATATTAATAGGTAACAACAACATTATGAGTGAATATGTGTTATTTTACAGTTTCCGAATGCGACTTATATTATAAAACAAAGCATTTAGCTACTACGCTGTCAGTATGAAATTATTGAGTGCAAGTTGCATGTAAAGTTGTATTAGTCAAAATTGCTATTCGCCATATCCAGAAGATCCAGCAAGCGTCTCATGGAAGTAATCGTTAGAACGGGACAGATAATCTGTCAAGTGTCTGACGTCTAATATCACAACGTTATTTATTTCTTAGACATTTCGCGGTCGAAGAGTCGCTACGCATCTTTCGTCTGATATACACTGACCCTAAGATTTCCAATACAAAAACAGACAAAACATATATTTGATAGATTGAGATAAGTGATTAACGAATGCAACGTGAAACATTAGCATCCATCACTTAAACAAAAGTTATAACACTTATAGACTTTCGTGTGAGAGAGAAAGTAATTTTTTTTTCACTTAACAACGCCGCTTCATAAGCGTGCTTCTAATATCTTGACCTTTTCATTCTAACATTTTATTTTTATTATAGATATAAAATATCATAAATACTCGTATGAATCTATCATGCTTACAAATAAGTGCAGAATAAACGAAGAATACTTCAGTTTCTAATCAACTCACTAGAGAGGAGTATATTGAAACGAAAAGTAAATTATCTACATTATAACATTATCATGATTACTAAATTAAGATTTATTTTATCGCTTAGGAGTAGTTTCAGTTGTACTAGAAATGACGACAAGAGAAAACGTACAGGGAGCAAATCATCCTGAAGAGGTTATTACTTTCAAATAATTTACATGACAATGTTAGATGCAACAACAGCAAACGCAATACTCAATTAGGTACAAATCAAGGGTTCGTATGACTCATCTTCCACGGATAAAAATTTAAAAGCTTGTAGTAATAGATTCAGTTAAAATCACTTACAATCGCTTTCCTCTTTGCTTTAACTAAGGTTTAATATTAAGTAGTTTTATAACTTAACAGTGTACGCGACAATTAGCTGTTATATTTGTTAATCTCTTTGGGGTTGTCAGTGGCCTAATTCTTGTAATTGCTGTTTCTCCTCTTCTTCCCGCTGCAGTGCTTCCCTCTCGGCAGCGATACGTGCATGTTGTTCCGCGATCACCTTGAACAGTTGCGCATGCTTCTCTGCGGCCGCAGCTACTGCTGCAGATTGTTGAGGTGCAGATACATCTGGAAACAAGAAAAAAAAAATTTCAATATGATATCTGACTTCAAGAATAAGTACTTCAAGTTTTCATTATTTTCAAATTAGCTTGTGAGTCGATTAGTTGGATTGCTTTCGCTTTTTCATTTGTTTTCAAACTGCGAAAATAATTAGTTATGTTGTAGTAAAGACCGAAAGATTTTTTATAATTGATCAATTTTTACAGTTATTATTCCTAATAATATATGTTTTACAGTGAAGAAAATTTCCGTCCTTCTTGTTCTTGTACGACGTTTCCGTACAGCTCGCAAAGTTATAAAGTTATATGATAATTAACTTATGTCTTGTAGTAAATTTTGTTTATTTAATTGTAACAAATAAATATAACAGATAAGAGTGTATATACGATACGGAAATATATGTGTAAATTAAGTTTTAAATTCTTATCTAGAAAGGCGGTTTTGCATACTACTAGCATTGAAACGGTAGGTCTAGACCGCGAGCGAGGTCGGCGCCACCAAGAACGGGACAGGTGCCTGGATTGAAATCGCTCTAGCAACCTTCAACTAAATGGAGAAAGTCATACATAAGGTGTGTATCATATCTATGAGTGACTATACATATTTTTTCTAGAAATAAAAACTCTTTAAATTTTCAATTGACATAGGCGAGTATAGGTTGTTGACTTGTCGTCGCCATCTTCCAGACTTTTTTAAGGGAGGGATTAACGTGAGAACCCCATAACAGTATTATCATACGAGTCGACTCCAAATATTTAGTGTTACCTTGGCCTTCATATCTAGATCACATTTTTCGCAATGTATATTAGTGACACACATTCAGTAATTAACAGCATAAATAAAATAAAAACCTTACGCCTTTAGCTATTGGTCAACATGTAGGCTTTGACTTTACGACTTTCTATCCTAGTAGTCCAAAACATTTACAGAATGGTCCTTTTCATTGAGATGGCCCTAACACCTACATGTTGATATGTATGATGATAAAGATGTTTTATATTATTTCATCAAGTTCATTTTAATGTCCTTTAGTGATAAAACCTTCTAAATTACAGTTTAACACAGTTAGAGACAGTTCCACAGAAGTGTAGAGTAAATTCATTTATGCACTTTGTAGTTATTGAATAGTATTCTAAAATAATATAGTAGAATAAGTGAAACATCATTTATTTTACTCCAAGTGAGACCTCAAGATGAAGAACTCCCCCGTCGAAAGGATTATATAAATTATTATGAATAATAAATTAATTCTCACCATCAGAATAAGGGTGCTCGTGGTGCTGCTGAGCGATTTGAGCGTACAGTTGGTAGTGTTTATCCTTTGCCCGGGCGACTGCTTCTGAATCGGTCGGGTGGTCAGGAGGGGCCTCGTTCAGTACCGGATGGAAGCCTTCTTTGTCAGCCACGTAGTCTACCTTACGGAGCTTGTGACGAGGGTCCACGTATGAGAATGTACCTGAACGTATATAAAAGTAATGATATCTGTATACCTCCACATACACTAATAATAAAATTACGCAAGAAAGTTGTTGATCCATTCACAACTTTGTTATATGTAGTTTTATTTTTTCCAAATTCTTTACAAAGTCAGAGTAGAGAATAGCTAGAAGTAAATAAAATTATATTTATTTATAATCGATTACTTGTTGTAGACAATGTAGTAAAAATATGTTTTTTTTTTATACACTAAATAGTTTTTTTATATATGCACACATATAAATCTAAAAATAGCATTAGCTATTGTAGTTATAACTGTTAGTTTGACAGTTATTTTAACCGCTTATTGGTTTTTTTATAGATGGGCGCATGGGCGCAGAGATAGTTGAAGTTATGACATTAGTTATTGTTAATATATAATTGTTATGTCATATTAAAAGCAATGCTTGATAAAGGCCAGACGTGAGTTAATAGTGCACTTATTGCTGCAAAGGTGATATCTATAAAGTTGGCGGTTTCTAAATGTTTATATAATGAAGTTTATCGTAGCGCGATGTTACCTCTGACAACGCCGCTGCCATCACTGACTTCCGCGTGGTGGCGGTCTGCATGTCCCGGGTAGCGGCCGGCGGTGTACGAGAACACGTACGGCTTCGGTGGCGGCTCAGGGGTGCTCCGCTCCAGTTCCAAGTGGGACACATCACAGGTGACCAGCGCCACGCTCGCTAGCAGGACCAGCGTGTGGAACACCATCTGGGAATAGACAGTTTGAATTGCTAGAATATTAAGGACCATGTTTTTTTAAATAAATAACTACATTTATTTTTTTCCGGTGATATTTCGTGTTTATAAAATTCTTGGTCTAATTACCAAGATATTAGTTTTCTTAAAAGATAAAAAATCGTGAATTCCATTGTAGGCAGTAAAACCGTTCAAAAGTTCATTATTAAAAAATATATTAGACGATTTGAGAATCTATAGATAAGTTTCTATCTAAACCAGAAGAATAAGAGTTTAAAATTTACCTACCTACAACCTTGGGTCCTATCAAATAAGACATATAAGCAAACATTCGGCTAATGTCTGAAATATATCTATTGATGATATTATCGCACACAACGGTAATATGACGGCATGGGTATCGCGGTATGCCTGTATGACCTCGTCAAACGCGGATCCCGCGTGACGCAACACAAAAGGTCACGTAGACCTGTTCTAAGGCGCCTCTATCCGTTCATAATAACATTTAGATCGCAGATAGGTGCTTCATTGAACCCTACCATAGGTTAAACATTTTTGTATTACGGCTAGTCCCTCCATTTACCACAAAAACCTAAGTACAAATCGTATTTGTATAGAGCACAAACGTCAATTCTTTGTATAGAGCAAGTGCTCTCTGGACATTATGTCATCGTACTTAAAAACCCTACAGGTGATGTTCCCACATGAGACGGACATGAACACGGTTATGGAACAAATAGATTAGTCCTATAATAAAATTATTTTGATTTAATATGAGCTAGTGACGATAGTTTAATTTTATAGCAGTGTAACTGAATAAGATAAATCATTTCGAATAGCTTATTGCTAAAACATGATAGTTATATAGACAAGGATGTTTCTTTATCACGAATAGATTTATTTATCCTATAAATCCAATGTAATTAAAAGAAGCAAACTCATTGAATATTATTTTGATTTATCTCGACACAAGGAGGTAATGGAAATGAAATGTGGCCTTAACTAATAATTAAGTAACACCACCCCGCTGCTTTTGGATTATTTTGATGTTTCATATAATATTTACCTCGGCGTATTGTTATGACGGAGAACGAGTCAATATTTTCCTTATCTTGACAAGCATTTAAATTAATTATGTTTAAAAATAACAGTGACGTCTTAACCTGACCGGTTACGAGTGTTAGGCAAATAGATGTGCGCATTCCCATACACATGCGCATCAACATTTAACATAATAACAATAAGGTGCACCTAAACAAACACAATGCAATTAAGGCGGTATCTTGTTGAAGTCCACTGCTATAATTGTGGAACTATGTCTAACAACCTACATACTCAGTATCTGCAAGACCTGCACTGCACCGCCGTACTTAAATTCACACGCACAAACGGCAACAAAGCTTCTAAGCAACAATCACATGTGTTTCACACAATTCTACACGTGTTTCGCCCACCTACTGAGTGTTTCCTAGGATTTGTTAGCATTTATACAATCAAACATCGGGGTTAGCTCTGTTAGCACTGTTCTGACAGTGTTCAAGTTGCTAGATAACATCATTTCATCTTTTTAAAATGGTGCATTAACCGACTAAAGATTAATTAAAAATATACATATTTTGAAATTCAAGAGTAATGTTTTTTATTAAGTTCCTACTAGACTAATAGGATGTAAAGATAACAGAGCTTCATTAGCTGTATTTACAAGTAGCTGGTTCGTTTGCTGCTAAGTGCAGGGATGGTTGGGCCACAGCACAATGTTTGTGACTCGCTCATTACTTTCACTCTGTCTGCGAGAGTGCTAGTATCTCGTCAATCGCCGCCCTTGACCCGCAGTTGGGAAGTGGTACGCTATCGTCACTATCTCAGCATGTTGGCGTCATAAATTACTACTTTATACAATAAAATGTTGCCGAATGTGTTAACACCTTGTTAAAGAACAAATGGTGTAATGCTTGTAAGTGAATTACATATACAAATATATACAAATAATTATCTGTATTAGGTACAATGTATGAAACCTTTCTAAGATTTATTTTTTATGACCAAAGACTCTTTGAGTGAGGTCACCTAATATATACTAATGCTAAAAAGGAAAAAACATATTTATCTGTTTATTTGCATTGAAAAGGTTACCGATTTCACTGAATCAATTTCAAAAATTATTTTAACTACGGGAAGCTATAGGCTATAATTTAAACAAGCAAAGTTACAGCCCAAGCTAGTAAATAATAATCAGTTCAAAAGTTAAGTATATGTTATCATTATTTGTATTAAAAATAAAAAAAGTAAAATTTCTGATTTGGCTACATTTCATTTCGAAAGAAAAATATATATGCGATATTGTTCTTATCCTAACAGTGCCAAATGTTATTTTAATAAAAATCTTTATAGAAAGGATCATAGTTATATTAAGAAATTAATATTATATATTGAAAGAGCTGCATTCTATTGAAATTTCTTGAAATTTTATCAAGAAGTCTGTCATATTAACAAGAAAATTCACTCACTATGTAGACATAGTGAATTTTTTTTCACCCATATCTTTACTGCATATGATTACAGGCTAGTTGTTATCCGGATATTGTTCCACAGAAGATATACGTCTACATATACAAAGAAGATTTAATCTCGACTTATTACTAAATTAGCTCAACAACAAATGAAATCCAAGATAAACCTACACGTGGTTTGCTAACGTTAATTACAATAGAACAATACACTGAATATTTGTTGCGTCTTCAACAGTAGGTGTCAAGGAATCAATCACATTGCCTTTGCGGGAAGTACTTGCCTACTCCTCGCCTAGGATATGTTGTGTTACAACGCCTAATATAACATTAGTCAGAAAAAATAGGTCAAGGACAAATAACATATGTACTCAATTGTACATAGAGCAAAGGATTTTTTTTATAACCATTATCATTTCTATTATTAGACGTTGTTCTGGATCAAGCTTATATTATTCATGAATAGTATGCGCAAGTCGTACAATGAGAGTATAAAAACTAAGTCCAATGTAAAAACTAAGTCAACAACAATTACTTTTTTGCTAAATTAAAATTGAGTTTTTTTAACTGTTTTCGAGGAAAACTTTTGAAAATTATCTATTTTGAAATAGTTTTTTTTTAATATTCCTTATGTTTACACATTACCTATTTTTGAATGTCAGCTAAAGGAGCTGTTATGCTATACTGTTAATAAGCAGCTGCGAACTCGATAACGAGTTCAACGCTGCGTTGTTAGTCAATTTTAAGCTGTTTTCATAACAGAATAGTACTGCAGAAGGTTCTAATGCAACTTCATAATTGCGTGGACCTCGCACCAGCAGATTATCATCTTTACTGGTCCACATCGGAACAGCTGACCTTACGCTTACAATGCGTAACCTTCGAGTATAATGAACACCTTAAAAGCTAACTATATTCTTCAAAAGAAATATTTTTTTTGCATAAGCGAGAAACACGGGGGCTATTCCTAAATCTTGAAATTCAAGATTCAGTTGTGACAGATCAGTAGTCGGACAGACAATCGAGTGATATTATAAGAGATACGTTTTTCCTTTTCAGGTGCGAAATTTTAAAAACGCATAGGTACAATCGTATTACACAAACCCAACAGAATATTTGTAACGCTCGGTCGGTTACTGTCGGAATTGCTTTTAAAATATCTGTGTGCACACACCGTTAATGCAATGTTAAATGCCTATACATAACAATGAATATATTTTCATAATTATTTTGGGTATTTCATATTTTAACTTAATTATTTATAATATACAACAGACAAACTGCGTGGTCCTTAAATATTGATAATAGGTCGCTTCAATAGAGCTATTATACTGCAGGGAATACATGGCTTACTGTAAATGGAACTGTAACGTTCACCTCTGTGTAACCACTCTTGGTTACTGCGATTTTTCTCTATTGCTAGTCGAGTAACGTCTAGGCTCTCCGAGGTCCACTCTTGTATAGAATCTTGTTTACGTATGCACATTTTTACCCTAATTATTAAAAGTATTTCTCTTCTCCAAGTACGCATAGTCGCTACTTTTTAAAACTGTCGAGCAAGATGAGTGCTTACTTATATTACTCTGAGATTAATAGGAATAAATCAAGTTCTGAGATTATTAAAATTCTTAAAAAGAGATGTCAGTTCCTTAGAGGGAATCACCAAACTCTTTGAGTTTTGAATAAAGTCCAAATAAATTGTAATAATTGCATCTATATCGTTTCTTTTGTACTAATTAAGAACAGATAAGAAGATTAGTGAACTTCGTTTTTTAGGGTTCCGTAACTCGAAAAGAAAAAAGGGAACCCTTGTAGGATCACTTTGTTTTTTGTCCGTTTGTCAAGGCCCTTTTTCTCAGAGTCGCGTGGAGATATCAAGCTGAAATTCATATCAAATACTCAAGTCTATTGTTACTTAGAGCTGTGAAAAAATCAGACTTCTAAGCCAACGCAATCAAAAGATATAGCCGTTTATGCCGCAAATATTCGAAACTTGCAAGGAAATCAAAACCTACAGGGTACTTCCCATGAACTCAGAATCCTGAAATTTAGTACGAAGCAACATCTTATAGAATAGATAAAGGAAAAAAAGGAAGGTTTGCGAAACAGTACATTTTTAGTTACATCAAATAATAAAAATATTGTTAATAATGAACTTTTACTTATATATCTACAGGTTTGTAAGGAGCCCTCTATGCGCGAGTCCGGCTCGCACTTGGCAGGGTTTTTATTTCTATTTTACTTCACAGAAAGGAATTAATTTATAGAAAATTATTCAACATCACATCTATTGTTGAGCTCGTGTTAAGTACATCTTAGTACTTGAATTACGGAATCTGAAACAATGGAGGTACCACAAAATTCAGACCCAAGATAATATAAAGAAAAGTTAATTATCTACATAAAATCGAATCCAGAATTCAGAGATGTCTAAATCTTGAAACCGGTGTGCGACTCATTCACTCATTCAATCAGGGAGCTCGTCAAATTGAACAATATCTACGACAGTTAATTTTCATTACACATTCATCATTGGATATCTGTTCACGAATT